GGTGGACAACGTTAATGACATTGACTGTATATCGTTCATGCAAGCACTTATCCATCAAGTTTAAAGAATTAAGCACAGGCAGCATAGTGTTAAAGGTCCTGTTTCTCATCCATGCAACCTGATTTAATTCCCAAACCCATTGGTATATGTGTGATGCAGTAGAATAGGACGTTTGCATGATGGTGTCATTTAACTCCCACTACCATATTGCTTAGTAAATTTTCTTTCTTAATTAAATTTGTATTCCCTCATGATCGAGAATAGTAAGACAATGGGTGATAATTAACTGAACAAAAGAAAGTGTTAAAGGGAGTCTGGTAGTAGATGTTAATGACTCCATCATTCAAACGTCCTATTGCTTCAGCGTTAGTTCTCTTCCATGGTATTCAATGGTTTATCTCTGGGTTTTCCACTTTTCATTTTTTCATCAAAAAATCATGCTTTTCGTGACATAAAGTGCTAGTACATCATTTTCATCCTCCTCATCTTCACATGCTTTGAGACTTCACGCAATAACAGGCATCTTCTGTTGCTGGGTTTCACTTGGCATCATTTCCTGGTAAGGAATGTTTATCAGCTGAATCGCAAGTTTCCAATTAATTCTTCTAGTTGACAGCACCTGGTGTCCAGTGTTTGACCACCATTTGGAGCAAATAATAAGATTTTTATCAGCTAATAATTAGCCAATTGAAACCCAGCAATTTTAATTTTGACCACATTGATTTGGGAATTCCTTTAGAGGATAAGGAATGTTATTCCAAAAGCACCCAAAACCCCTGCACTTCCTTGAGAACTTAAATTGATTCTAAATTATTCGTTCAAACTCTTTCCATTTCATTTTGAAAATTATGTTGACCCAGCAAGATCAAAATGTCAGTTGTTTTTGTTGTTGAATTTAAAAAACCCTTTGACTTGAAAAAATACTTTTGACATTCTTTTGTTTAATCAGGCCTACCATTGATGGATCTCCAAATCCTGGGTACTGTAATAAGTCCTGGAAATTCGATTCACATGAGATTGAGGTAAGGTTAAAAAGGCTCATTTTGATTCTTATGTAATCCTAATGCAGTTATCCATGCACATGAAGGGTGTAGGCAGGGGGTACAAGGGTCTTGACGCCCCATACCCCTGTCTGCTTGGCATCTGAGTGCGGCCTATCTGAAAGAAAATAAAACAAGAACAGTAATTAAATGTAGTTATCCATAGTTATCCACGCATATCAGGGTGTAGCCAGGGGGAGAGTGATTTACAGGGGTTTTAAAGCCCACCCTCACTCCCTACCCCCCCCCCCCCCCC